CCATGGATGCACGGACAGACAGCAGGACACGGGGACACTGCGGTAGATGCACGGACAGAGGGACACAGGGACACCACCATGGATGCACGGACAGACAGACACGGGGACACTGCGGTGAATGCATGGACAGAGGGACATGGGGACACAGGAATACCGCCATGGATGCACAGACAGACAGAAGGACACGGGTATGGGGACACATGGACACTGCGATAGATGGGATGCACAGACAGACACAGGGACATACAGACACCGTGATGCATACACGGACAGACAGGGGACACACAAACAGACAGACACACAGACATGACGCAAGGATAGACATAGGGACCGACGTACGGCTGGAGAACCCCAGGGATGCACACGCGGCTGTAGGGACGGACATGGGGACACAGGGACAGACATAGGGACACAGGGACAGAGGCCGCTGCCCTGGTGACAGCCGGACACGCGGCCCCCAAGAACCAGGCGGCTCCGGCCCCGGTCCCAAGCGTCAGGTTTATTGGGCAGGAGCTGCCGCAGCCCCCTCAGCTCCCGGCCCTAAAATCCCCATCCCTCCTGCAGCCAGCTCGCGCTCCAGGCGCTGCCTGAATCCCTGGGGAAGCCGGGAGCCACTGCGAGGGAAGGCAGGAAGCGAGGGAAGGGCTGGAGCGGGAGCAGCCGCAGCTTTTCCCCCGAGGGAAGGGACAGCGTTTCCCTGCTTCCCAGGACAGCAGCCGTTCCAGGGGCCTGGCGGCTCTGCCGGGGGGGATGCGGTGCCCGCGGCGGCCTCAGGCAGGCACTGCTCCCAAAGCGGGAATGCCCAAGGAGAGGGCGCTGGGAGGGCCAAGGACCCAGCTGAGGCTCCCCCGCTGGGGACAGTAGTGTTGGGAATGCCATGGGAAGGTGCTGCAGCTCCTCCCACTGCCCATCTGGGACAAAGCCCCGCACTCGGACTGGAGCAGAGTCCCACCATGGGGCTCTGGCCTCTTCCCGGCACTTTCCCTCAGGGATTTGGGATGCGCAAATCAAGCCCCATGGGAAATGGGGACAGGAGGCTCCAGGACAGCCCTGAACGCACACGTTCCCCTGTGCCGAGGCCCAGTGCTTCTCTTTCCCAATATCCCAAAAGCTGGGAAAGCAGCAGCTTGAGACATGGCCTCCAGCCATCCATAAAGGGATAAGTCAGCTCCAGCGCCTGCCATCCAGGCAGGAATGCTGCTCCTGGAGCAAGAACGTCACACGTAACGTGAAATCAAGCGATCTCCATCCCGATCAAGCCATCTCCATCCCAATTCCTGCCCGGGGTTGCATCCCGCCGCTCCGCAAAAACAGGGCTGACTTATCCCTTTAGTCAGGGCTGCGGAAGGGCCGCGGTGGGAGTCAGGAGATCTCGTTGCCGAAGACCTCGAGCACGAGCGGCGTGAGCTGCATGCTGTGCTCGGGCTGCACCGAGATGCAGCGGTACTGCTTGGAGTGCTCCTCGTTGAGGCTCCGCAGGTCCGCCAGCTTCTGGATCATCTTGGCGTAGAGCAGCCGGCAGCCCGGCGGCGGGTGCCGGCAGCGGATGTAGGTCTGCAGGGTGTCCGAGAGGCGATCCTGGAGGGATTCCACGAGCGACGTGTTCTGCACGCCGGGCCGATCTAGGGAACAGCGGCACCATCAGCTCCCACGTGGAGCAAGGCCCTTGGAGCCCGTATCGGAGCGGGAAAGGGGCGCTTCCGAGCGCCTTCCCGGAGCAAAATCCTGGCAGGTCCGTGAGCCGCGGGCACGGGGAACCTCCTACCTGGGGACAGGATGCAGATGGCCATGAGGAGCACGTGCTCTTCCTCGTGAAGGTTCAGCTTCTTCAAGCCCACCTGGAACTTCACCAGCGGCTCCAGCAGGTCCATGCTGTGGCCGGCTGCGAGGAGAAAGGTGCCGTGAGCGCGGAGCGCTCTGGGATGAGAGCTCGGAGCCGGCGCCAAGGCGGAGCGGGGAGCGGGACGCGCGGGAGACTATCGGAGCCCCGGGGAGGGCGACGCTCCGGGCCCGGCGCCGCTACCTTGGGTGACGTCGCTGACCCGGTACTTGAAGTCGCGGCTGCCGCAGGTCCACGTCATGTCCTCGAGGGTGAAGGACTGGTTGGAGCGCAGCATGATCACCTCGATGGCGCTGGATTTCAGCAACGCGATCTGGTCCTCCGCTGTCAGATCCCTGTGTCGGGGAGGAGAGAGGAGGGCAGGAGAGCTGAGCAGGATCCTCGGGGCTTCCCGGGCATCTTGAGCATCTTTTTCCAGAGCATTTTGCCAACAGAGCCCAGCAGAGCAAGGCTAAAGATGCACAAGAGCAGCAACCCTCTAGGGAATGGAGACAAAAAACATGGAAGGAGCAACAGAGATGGGAATGGAAGAGCCTAACAGGCACTGCGAAGATGAGAGGAGAAAAAGCGAAGTGGCTGTGAAGGATGGGACAGAAAGGCATCATTTCCAGAGAGCAGGAGGCCCTCTGTGCGGGCGGGAGGCTCACCTGAATCCCGGGATCATCTTGGCAAAGCCGATCACCTTCTGGATGCTGTAGCTGACCAGGTCTGCCAGGTGCGGGAGCATGGAGAACTGGGAGAAGTCGATGCTCATGGAGCCGCTCTTGTCATTCTTCTCAGAGAGGACCAGGTTGGAGAACATGTGGGGCTCCACGGACTCTGCGCACAGGGACACGGCCACGTCGGAGGGTGCCGGGCAGGATCCTGGCATTGCGCTCAGGGCCACGGATGTCCTCGTTCCCAGGGGTGTGGGGAAAGAGGCTCTGTGGGGCTGGATATCAGCGTTCCCCGGTGCTCTCCGCGGGTCCCGGCACGCGCTTAGCGCACCTTGAGCTCACAACCGCCCCCCCCCGGCCTCCCCCGAGTTAAATAGATCCTCTCAGGAAGAACAACAAGCGTCTAAACGGCTCTACCGCGATAAACCCGCTGCAGCCGTGGGCGGCACGCCGTACCTGGAAACGCGCCGAAGGCCTCGGAGCCAAAGAGGTCGGCGGAGTCCTCCAAGGACAAGTCCTGCGCGAGGATGGAGTCGGACCCCGCCGCTTCCCTGCCGTCACCGTCGCTCCTCACGGGCGGCTGCAAAGGAGAGCGGGATGTCGGCAACGGAGCCGCGCGGGCAACGCGGCGCAGAGATGCCGTCGCTTCCCGCTCCTCTCCCGGGGCCGGGATTCAATGTAGCCAGAAATCCGGGGGCAGGTGCATCCGGGAGAGGAGCTGCTGGGATTCGGGAAGGCTGCCGTACACGGAACTTGGCGAAGTCGGAGTACGTGGGGTCGTAGGTCTTGCGATGGGCCTCCAGGAGGATGGCGATGACCTGCTGCTGCTCCTCGGAGAGCTTCGGCTTCAGGCTCTCCTTGAGCGCCTCCTCCTCCTTGCGCTTGAGGATCATCTCGCGCTTCCTCTGCACCTCCTCATCCGTCAGGATGACTGCGGACAAGGGACGGGCATCAGCACTGGTGGATCCAGCAGCAAAACTGCCCCCCCCGCCGTTGCATCCCGCTGCCGGCGTTCCCACAGCGCTCCGGCACATGCAGCGCCGGACAACAGAGGGAGCCCCAAGCGGCCGCCTCGTCCCCAGCACCGCGATGGGGACGAGCGGGTGGCCCCTCTGCAGCTCTGCCCATTGCAAGGGTTTTCATGCCGTGGGGACCCTTGGGCAGCCCCCTGCCACCGCGCACAGGCAGATATTGCGTGTATTGCAGGTGGCCCGAAGACAACATGCAATGATTCTCCCCGTTTCCTCTGGCAAGGGCAGCCTCCACTGGCCCTGTCCAGCTGCAAACAGCTTGAAGACGTGGGTAGGACAAGGAGGAACATCCCAAATTTGTGCCTGGCCTGGTGGGAATGGAGGAAAAGCAGCCGGGAGCTGCAGGGATCTTACACCTTGACCTGGTGCAGGGTAACAGCCACCCGCGGAGTCAAACATTCACCAAAGCGCTCCCGGGCCAGCAAGGCAAGGCAAAAAGCAGCTCCTAAAATAGCTTGTGGTTATTATTATTATTAGTGCTTCAACCAGTCATTAGCAAAAAGGGCTCGGCAGCTTTATCTGCTGGCGGCGCTTTTCCGCCGGGCCCGGGGCGGCCGCTCCGAGGAGCTCCCTGCAGCCCTGGGTGCCCACGGCGTTTTTCCAACACATTCACACGAGCTCCGGGAGGACGGGAAGGGCCGGGAACGGCTGGCTCGGGCAGAAAGGTCATTCTTGTGCTCGGCCCGGCCGGATTAGCTCTCTGGGAACAGCCCGAGCCCTCTTGGGAGCTGGTTGCCCCTTTTCCCTGCTTTAGGAAGGGCCACTTTTTGGGGAAGCGGAGGAGAGCCGGAAACGCCAGCTCTGCCCTGCGCTTCCGAGGGCCACGGATCGACATTTACCTTCTTGCTTTGGAGCAGCAGCTCCAGGGTGGCCAAGGGGAGACCGTCCCCTCTCCTTAAGGCCAAAAAGGCACCAAAAGCCTTGGGAAAAGGGGCAGCTTGGGCCAGGAGAAAGGAAGCGGGCTCGGGAAAGCGGGCGAAGGAGCGTTTCCAGCCACCGTTCAGGGCTGCTGGCCGGAGCTTGGCGGCCCTATTGCCCAGCGCGCGGTCCTGCCCGCTCGCCCTGCGCCTTTCCCCCCGCCGATAAGATGGGTGGAAAACCACAAATATTTGCTAACGTCGCCTGCGGCGGCTCAGGCAACCGGGCTATAAATCAGCGCGCCGGCCCCACCAGCGCCGCGGCCCCCGCTGCTCCCACGCGCCAGCACCGGCGCCGCTCCCAGCGCCCACGAGGGACCAACGGGGGTGTCCACAGCTCCCCGGGAGCACTTGGCTCCGCTCGATGCCGGCTCGTTTTCGGGAAGCGAGCAGGGGCCCGGCTGTGCTGCCCTAGGGATGTGGGCTGCGCACAGAGCCGGGGGGCACAAAACCCCCCTGGGACTGCTTGCATGGGACCCTAAATGACCCCTTTGCCATGTCCCGCTCGCGCCCGTCTGCTCCCTCGTGTCGCCTCTGGATCCCGTCCACACCGGAGGAAGAGCGGCGCCCACGCGCAACGCCAGCTCGGAGGAGACCCCGCGTCCCCCCGCGGTGCAAGGTCCCCAGCAGCACACTTTGTCCCCGCTCCCTTTGCGCTGCAAAGTCCACACGGAGGCTATTTTTAGCCTCTCCGGGTTAAGCTCAATTAAGGGAGGCAACACTTCGTTAACCGGGGCGCTTACACGTTAACTCCGGCGCGGGGCCGCCGCATCCGCGATGCGAACGGCTTGCGCGGCGGAGATCCCGCTTTCCCAGCTCGCTTTCCCCCGGGCACACGCAAAAGCGGAATTTTGCAAAGAACCCGGAGTGGCAGCGAGCGCCGCTTGAATTCTCCAGACTGGGTCCCACTTCTCACGTCTGTCAACGGCAGGAGCGGCTGCCGTGTTTGCAGCGTCCTCGGAGAGAGCTGTTATTTCGGTTTGAGCCCTGTGCAAGTGCCAGTCCTCTCCTAAAGCCATGGGACGTGGACAGAGCGCGTGCGGAGGAGGAAGTGCGCCCAACAGATTTTATTTTTAAGAGCTGCTTGTCTATAAATATCATTGAAGAAAATAAATATTAGGACAACGTTCCTCTGTTTGGATTGGGTTAAAATCTACTTTACTTTCCCCTGCTATTTGCTCAAGCCTCGGCCGCGCACGGGGCCAGGTGGCCAAGCTCACGTTGCGGGAACAGGATCCAAACTAAAGGCGAAAGGGACAGCCCGGAGCGAGGCGCAGGCAAATGCCCTGCTTGTGGGAATTAATACAGCGCGGTGGGTCGCTAGCAGGGAGAATCCCATTCAGTTCTTCCATGCTCGGATACAGGGAAGAGCACACAAAAAAGCACCGCAAGAGGAGGGTGGCTTTGCACCAGCAGAACATGAGCAAATTTGGCCCATCTAAGCTGACGCAAAGCCAGAATAGCCCTGGCAGATGCTCAACACCAGCCAGCACAGAATCCCACTCACAGAACTATTACAGTTGGAAAAGACCTTCAAAATCATCAAGTCCAACTGTAAAATTTGGCTCTCCCGCGGGCCAGCCTGTTAACTGCCCCGGGAATGGCCTCAATCATTAAATTGGCCCCTCTTAATCATTGCCCGGCAGCACGGGCTGCCCTTTGCGCCCGCGTACTCACACTCCTTCATCATGCCGATGTCCACACAGCGCTTGAGCCGGCACGCCTGGCAGTGCCGCCGGTTGTCCTTGGTGATCCTGCAGTCGCCGTTGAAGGGACACGTGAACATGGCCTTCCTCTTCATGCTCCTCCTGGCAGGGAAAGGGAAAGGAGACACCGCGAGGTAGCCGCCGGCCCTTGGGCTGCCCGACGCGGCGCTCTGTATGGTGGTGGGCTGCACAAACGCAAGCGGAGGCTGTCCAGAAAGAGGAGCTGCACCGGCTCGCGTGCAGCTACGGCTTCATTCCGAGAGGTCTGGGCACTTCACAGGATGGAAAACCAGGGCTTGCCAAATGGAAAGAGCCTCCAGTCCGGGTTGCAAACCAGAGAGCTGCTAGAGGTATTTCAAAGGCCAGAAGAAAGGGGTTAGAACTGGTGTAGAAGGACCCATACAAGAGAAACCAGAGCGTGCACCAAAGCAACGGGTGTTATTAAACATTTACCAGCGTTTAAAGCCTGGCTTTGCTAGAATAACTGGCTGGAGCGCATGTTTCCGTGCGCACCGGAGGGAAACCTCGCTGCAGGACACAAAGAAACACCTAACGCAATGACCAAAACCGCCCCGCGCCACCTTAATCAGTGCTCGCAAACGCAAATCTGCCGAGCACAAAGGGGCAAAGCCACGTTTTCCAGCTAAAACTCTTTCTTGTCCACAAGGTCCACCAGCAGAGCCGTGTTACGGGCTTCTCCTCTCCAGGATGCTCCGATTTGGCTTTGGAGGAAGAAAAATCCCCCGAGGATGTGGGACCCACGTCCCGTTGGAGCAGATGCTGCAAAGGAGCCACTGGGCCACCACGATGGCAGCTGGGCCGGGCCCGGCGCCAAGGCTGCGCTTATAGGGTTTAAATATAAAATATGTACCCAGGCCGCGGAGCCACGTGGCACGTAGCCTGCAATTAGCAGCTATTTTAGAAAGCGAGATATAAACAGAGAGGTTTCTCCAACCTACCCGCCGAATCAATGCATATAGGAGAATTAATGCAGGAGATGCCCAAGCAGGATGGCAGGGCTTGCAGCAACCCACTGCAGATGGGCGCTGCTTGGCTACAAACCCTCATTTCAGGTGCTGGCTTTTGCCTTGCTCCACGTTCCCCTTTCCCCCAAGGACAGGGCGGCCTTTGCTCTCACAGGTAATAACATTCCCTATACAAAACCAGGAAAGAAACGCCCCAAAAAGGGGGCATTTAGTAGGGAAAGAAACGCCCCAAAAAGGGGGCATTTAGTAGGGAAAGAAACGCCCCAAAAAGGGGG